GACTCCCTGCTGAGCAGGGAGCCCGATGCGGGACTCGATCCCGGGACTCCAGGATCATGACCTGAGCCGAAGGCAGTCGCTTAACCAACTGAGCCACCCTGGTGCCCTCTACTGCTTCTTTATTAGTGTATAAGAATGCAGTGGATTTCTGTGCATTGATTTTGTATTCTGGGACTTTACTGAATTCATTTATCAGTTCTAGCAGGTTTTTGGTAGCGTCTTTAGGGTTTTCTACATAGAGTGTCATGTCATCTACACATAGTGAAAGTTTGACTTTTTCCTTACCAACTTGGATGCCTTTTATTTCTTTTTGTTGTCTGATTTCTGCAGCATGGACTTCCAGTACAAAGTTAAATAAATGTGGGGAGAGTGGACATCCTTGTCTTGTTCCTGACCTTAGGGGAAAAGCTCTCAGTTTTTCCCCATTGAGGATAATGTTAGCTCCGGGGTTTTTATATAAGGCCTTTATTCTGTTGAGGTATGTTTCTAGCTGCATACTTCTTGGCCTACATGGGTATGATCTGAGGATGCAAGGGTAAGATGTACCCTGGTAATGCACATGATTGACAAATGAGATTCTCTATCCGTCCTGTGCCTTGGATCTCATCTCATCCAGGATTTTCCCAGGATACAACCTTTTGGATAACTTGGTTTCTCTTTCCCAAATATGGTATTCTCACCATGGTGTCTTGTCTTCTCCTCATTCCGTGATTTTCAAACCCCTTCTCTGGGAATGTAGGAGAGGGCCACAGATGAAGAGAGAAACCCAACCATCTGATTCTAGAGTAGAGAAAGGCCCAGGAGCAGGGAAAACTGGATGCTTCTGTAGTAAGAGCTCTGTCCAGATCAGGCTAAACCGTTACGGCCCAGGGCAAGAACAAGGGCAGAATTAACGGGGGTGTCCTCTGTACCTCACAACCTCCATAAGACAGCAACAGTGAAGAGCATTGGACTCTGTCTTTATTTAAGGCAAATCCCAAACCACGGGTGGAATGGGCATGTTTGCAGCTATATCTTCTCTTCTGAGGGGGCAAAACACACACCCATGGTCACTTGTGTAAATTGGGGGAGCTGGCAAGGCTGAGAAGGTGGGACATGAGCCTTAGAAAGAATCTGTGTTACAGATTCAACTCTTGTCATTGCCCCTCCTTCCTTTCCCCCTCACACTCCTCCCCCAGAACAACTGCCAGAGGGATGTGGCTGGAGGTCAGAGGTCATGCTTATGGCTTCACTGGCCTAGGGTCCAAATGACCTCTGCGTGACAGCAAGCAGGACAGTGAAGACCAGGCTTTTGCTCAGGAGTCCACACAGCACGAGAATGACGATGTTGATCACAGGAACCCTGGGGGAAAGAAGAGATGTAAGCTGCTGTTAGCACTGGTGCGCCTCACACCTGAGTGTTTACAGAAGTCCTTCATGCCCCTTCTCTTATCTGCTTAGGCCCTTCTAGCACCTGTCCCTGACCCTGTGCCTTTAGTGTGTCCCACTGCCTAAAACTACTGACTGGAAATATATCTAGTAAAAAGCATAGAGCCCATGTGCAGAAGAGGCACCCAGGAGAAAGGGCAGGCTGCCTGGGCTCCTCTTCCTCAACGGGATGCAGCAGAGAGAGAAGGCCCAACAAGGAAGCCCAGTTTCTAGTCCCAGCAGGAAGGCCTACTTCCTGGGAGGGCCACCTCACCGCTCTGGCCTCGGTTTCCCCATCTAGAAACAGAAGAATCCGATCCTTGCCCCAATCCCATCATGAATTATTACAGATTTTAGCTCAGTGATTCTAAACGTCCTGAGAAAACATCAGTGGATACCATAAGAAAGAGATACCCATGAGTGAGGAAGCATGGTCTGTCTAGACTCAGTGATATGGAAACAGATTACAGCACAACTAATCTGCATGATAAGACACAGGGTGACAAGAGAAATAGATGGCAGTGAAACAAAGAGAAGTCCAGATATTGACTTAATGTTATGTATGAATTTAGCATCTAAGAAATCCGGCAGCCCAGGAGGTAGGCAAGGATTGTTTAGCAAATAATCTTGTGGTATCTGGATCGTAATATGAAGAAAAAGTCATCTTTTGTACAATTTATACCATTTAGCAAAATATACCTCCCCCAAGATGGACTAAAGATTTAAATAAAATGGGGGGGAGGGGAACTAGAGACATCACCAGGAAATAAAATCAAGCACATTAAGGAATAAAGCAAAGTAATAATTTAAAAATCAACACATTTGTCCATACTAAAACTTAAAAGCAAATGTGCAAGCTCGCAGAAGGAGAATTGACAGAATGACAATAAAAAGCCGCCGAGGCCACCCCTTTACACTGAAGTACCCCCGGGGCCCGCGGCCCCGTCCCGTCCTCCCTGTCTTCCTTCTCCCCCATCACCTGGAGCTACGTGAACCAGCAGCTGGTCAAGTTGACCCCTGACAACTCCTGGCCGCTCACGGTTACAGTAGCGCCCCCCGCGGCTCGGGTTCAGCCCATGGCTCCAAGGTCCCAGCTCCGCTGGGCTAACTTGACCTTCAAGTTTCCCTTGTCCTCCCAGCCCTTTCACATTTTCATGCGCGGAGCTCCTGAAGTGTGTCCACTCTCGAGGGCCAACACGCACCCCTTTCTGAGGCTGCACAGAGGAGGCCAGACCACTGCCCCTACCCCAGTGCCTGGGAATTTGTGTGCCACTGGGCCACCCCTAACAGAGCACTGGAAATTCGGAGTATAAATACTCCAGCTCCCCCAGCCTCTGATATAGACAAGTCTGTGGGTCCCCCAGAAACCCCCTGCAGGACTGAACCCCAAAGCTCCCCCCTCTGGAACTCAGCTTGGTGATGACATCTTTACTAAACTTCCTTCTCTCCTGGTCTCACTTCCTGGATGGATTTACCTGGGATCACTTCCTACATTTGTACAAGACTTTTCCCATGGCCTGATTCCAGGGAACCCACCCTAAGACAGTGAGGTGGTGGCTCCCTTCCTTCCTTCCTGGTGGTGGCCCCCAACCCCATCCATTCCCAGATTGGAAGCTCACCTCTTCCATTACCTAAGCAAATAGCTCCCTGTACAAAACATATATTTCTCAAACAGCTCAGTGGCTTCTGCTTCTTTGGCTGGATTCTGACTGACAGAATAGTTCATATTAGTTAATAAATAAAGTTAATAGAAAATGTGCAACCTCTAGTAGCAATGTGGACCAAAGTGGGTACTCTCGATTTACATGCTGGAAAATCAAAGTAACTTAAAAAAAATGTTGATTCTCACTAGATCATTTATTTAGTCCACAAAGATTTAGTAAGCACCTACTATGTACCAGGCACTGGTGCCAACAAAACAGCAGTTGTGGGGCAGGGGGCGGTGAGTGGATAGTCACTGCCTCTATCTTCCTGGAGCTTCTAGCCCACAGCAAGAGAGAAATGAAAGCACGTGATAGTTCATGTCCAATTTAGCAGGAATATTTTCCAAATACTAAATCCTTGTACGCAAAGAATCCTTGCAGTGACAACTGCTTCATTTATACATTACAGATCACAACACAAAATGTTTCTAACCTTTGAAGACCATTTGGCAATATGTATACAGAGCAATATAAATGTTCACATTCTCTTAAGGGAATTTCTTTTGAATAAATAATTTAAAAGAAAAAAGACATCTGCAAAAATGTTCATCTCAAAGTTATCAATACTGTAAAAAATTAAAACAATCTCAGTGTCTAAAGACAGGCAAGTAAGATTAAGTCATGGCTTTTTCATTGATAGAAAAGGATGCATTTGTTGAAATTATAATCATGAAGTCTAGGTAGCAACATCAAAGAATAGTCTTAGCATAGAAAAATAATGGCAATGTTTATAATTAGAATTACTGCTATATTAAATATGTATGAACATGAATAAAAACTAGAAAGAGAATGTGGCGATCAGACATGTTAGATTAGTGGGAATATGGATGAATATCTCTCTGTTAATTCAACATTTAATGATAAACACATTCAGAGATAAATCAACATTTAATAATAAACCATAAAGAGGGGTATGCATGCAAAGTTAATGGGTCTTAGCTTTGCCTGCACATTAAGAAATCTCGTGAAGATCTCATAAAAAATGCTGAGACCAACCCTATCTCCAGAAATCCTGATCTATTGGTCTACAGGAGGGCACATGCATTGGTATGAAACACAAACCAAAGCAAAAGCAAACACTCCAGGTAATCCTAACACACAGCAGCCGCTGAGAGGAGAGCCGTTGGGCTATTATTATTTCCAGCTCTGCATTTGCTAGCCTCCCTATAGACAAGGAAACAAGCCACAGAGCATTCATGATTCACCCAAAGTCACACAGCTAGCCAATGTGGCTGGCATTAGAATCCAAGGACCCTCACTCCACTATACCATTAGGCTGGTAAGGTTGGCCGACACCCACTGGAATTAAGCAAAGACACCCTTTCCTTCTTCTTACTCCTATAGGATGCAAGGAAACAGGGTGAACCAGGGAGAGTGGGAGCCTCACCAACAACTTCCTCCCACTCTAGCACCACTCCCTTCTTCCCCAGGAAAGTTTCACCAGACTTAGTTGACTCAAGTCTGCTCCTGCCCTCCCCTTTCCCCCATTCATCACTCCCCACATCTCAAGCCTATGGACTCAGAAATCAAACCAGGAGGCCCAGAGACCTGAAACCATAGCTCGTGACATCCGTCGCATTTGTGATGTTGACTCCCAAGCCAGGAGAGGAGATGTCAGCAGTTGATTTGGGCAGGAGTTGGGTCACAGTCCTGGGGCTGTTGAGGAGTGTGCTCTGGGCCTTGGTGGTGGTAGGAGGAAGGGTGGAAATCTTAGCCAAGTTCTGAGTAGGATTCTTGTCTGAGACAGTGGTGCCTAAAGGATCTGCAAGAAAGCACATTGGATAAATGGATGGTTAAGTTAATGAATGAAGTTTTGGGAAGTGAGTGGGTAGATAGACAGATGGAAGGATGAATAGAAGGAAGGCAGGGAGGCAGGAAGGAAGGGTGTTTGGATGGAAGGAAGGAAAGTTGGGTGGATGGAGAGGTGGCAGGGTAAATGAAACTGAGGAAGGAAATGAACATGGCCATTCATGAAGCAAGTTTCTCTTTTGCTAAGTTGAAGAATTAGTGTGAGGTCAGCCTGGGTCAGAGGCAGGAAAAAGGAAAGAAGGAAGGAAAGCAGAAAAGGGAAGAGAGAGGGAAGGAGGGAGGAAGGTGGGTAAGGGCAGAGGGGGGAAATGGAATTTTCAAGTGATTCCTATCACTGGAAATGCACTCGACTGCTATTCTTCACCAATCCATATGCCTCCACCTTCTTCAAGAATAATTCCCTGATTACTCTACCTTGTACCATTCTCTGCCTTGCCCTCACATAAACCTATAGCACATTGCTTTTCAAATTGTCTTTTATTAATATATTGCATATGAGCCTTGTCTTCCTTAGGCTTAGGATTCCCCAGGTGCTAGAAACTTGAACATTCCTCCCTTTCCTCTCGTTCCTTAATTTCTCCAGTTGACATCTACTGAGGTCCTACTTTGTCCCAGGCACTACATTAGTTTCTAGGGATACAGACATGTGAAAGGCACAAACCCTTTCCTTAAGGTACTCACAGATGAGCATTGGAGGCAGATAAGTAAGCTGGCCACTACTACCCAGTGGGACAGCATCATCTATGAGGGGGACACAAAGTGAGCTCTGGAGGTTTGCTACCCAAAATGAGAGCCCACAGACCAGCCTCAGCAGCAGCATCACCTGCAAGCAGATCAGAAATGCTGAATCTAGGTCCCACCCTAGACCTATTGTATCAGAGGCTGCTTTTGAAATAAAATCCCCAGGTGGTTTGTGTCCCCAGTAAAGTCTGAGAAGCACTGCTTTGGAAGCACACAGGAAAGCCATCAAATGTACTGGGGGGGAGGAAATAGTTGATCACAAAGGCTTCCCAAAGAAATGACTTCCAACCTAAAGTATGAGACTAAATTATCTAAGTCTACCATTCATCTTTCACTGTACCCTACTTCCTACAATAGTACCCCAAATTAAGTTCTGCTACCCTAAGAGGAATCCCATACATAGAAGCCCCTTCTTACTTTTGGACCAAATGCCTCTCAAGGACCTCAAATGAAAGACAAGAAGCTTCTGGGAGAGGTCAGGTTGCTAGACATCCTAAGCCACAGCCCTGGGGGTGCTACCACCACCACCCATACCACCACCTGGGCTGGCTTTCCCCATCCTTTTACCCCCCTCCAGGTCACTCACCCTTGATCACCACCAGGCGGACAAGGGGGGACAGGATGTCAGGGTCCTTGGGAGGGTGGTAGATCACACACCGATACAGTCCTGAATCCTCCACTTGAAGGCTGGTCATTTGGACGTTCAGCATGGCCTCACTGGGGATGTCTTCTAGGAAGTACCTGCCCATCCGGACTTGACTGGGATTCCCTGAAACACTCTCTGTGAAAACCAGTGTTAGGGGCTCCCCTGTATCCATCAGCCTCTGCCAAGCTTTCTGGCTATTGGCATACTTCTGGATGGAGAAGGGACATTGTACATTCAGGGTCTCTCCTGCTGCTAAGACATACTTTTCTTCATGTGGTTCGGTTGCAGCTTGGAGTTCTGTAAGCAGGGAATTAGAGTTAGACTCTGTGAGGAATAGTTTTCTTCTCTTCGGAAAAAAAAGAGAGAAACAACCTCTTTTTCTTGTTCAACCTCTCATTTTTCAGATGAGGTCCTCAAGGCCTCCAGAGAACATGCATCCTTCCCTGCAAGCCAGCACTAGATCCCAGATCTTTTTACTGTGAGTAATTTTTCTTTTACTCCAAGAGCTAGACCATCTTTTGCACATGATTTGTGCAAACTTTCATAAATGATTGTTTTTGAGAGGAAAAAAATTGCCTGATTGGAGGCAGAACATGGGACATGTACCAAGACCATGAGTGACAGGGGTATTATGGAAAGGAAGATTATAGAGAAGGACATACAGGGTGATGAGTGGATGTGAAGACATGATAGTAGCAGACAGTGATTCCTCCAAACAGCTAGGGGAAAGAGAAGATCAATTCTGGTCTGGTCCAAAGGAGCTTTGCCAAGGGGAGGGCCAACTTGAGTGGAAATAAGATCTAGATCTGTGTTTTTGGCTGGACACAACAGAGCTCTATAACTTATCCACAGGGTCTATAGTTTATCCACTCGAGCCTGGGTTACTTTCTTCCATGGAACACCAAATAATGGGCTGGACAGTAATGTCGGATCAAACTGTGGATCAGGCTACCGCTACCCACAACTACTACTGATATTATTAATACTACTGCGTGCACACACACACACACACATGCATACACACAATTTAATCCCTGGGCAGTAGTTCTGAGAATGCCCATTGAAAAATGCCAACAGCTGCCCCTTTAATGGAGTCCCTGGGCTATCATCACAGCCCACCTGTGGACTCCTGAGGATTTTGAATATGAAACCAGGCCAATTCTTCTGGGACCAGACTGCAGTTTCTAAGGAAACCTAGAAAACAAGCTTCTTGGAAAGTCCTCTGAATTCTGGTCAGGAATTCCCCTCCAAGAAAGGGGGGAGCCAAGACTGGGGGCTGTCTTAAACCAAGTTTGCCTCACTCATTCAACAATTGGTGCCTGAGAGCCTACTGTGTGCCAGGCACTGTGCTGAGCTCTGAGGAAGATAAACACCTCCTCTCTCTACCCTCTGTAACATTAGTGTAAAGATTATAGATAAATTATTTGCCAAGTCCCTGGGCAAGGTAGATGCTATGGTCAGAATGTGTGTGTCCCCCCGCAAAATTCATGTGTTGAAATCCAAATCCCCAAGGTAGATGGTGTTAAGAGATGAAGCCTTTGGGAGATGATTAAGTCATGATTGATCCCACGAAAGGGATTGGTGCCCTTATAAAAGGGTTCCAGAGAGCTCCCTCACTGCCTCCACCCTGGGAGGACAGAGTGAGAAGTCCGTAGTCCACAACCTGGAAGAGGGCCTTTACCAAAACCCAACCAAAATGGCAGCATGATCTTGAATATCTACCTTCCAGAACTGTGAGAAATAAGTACCTATTGCTTATAAGCCCCCCAGTCTATGGTATTTTATGATAGCAGCCCAAGTGGATGAAAAGTGGGAGTTACAGGAGTCTGAGTTCTGCACAAACTTGCCTATCTCTTGTGAAAGGAAACAGCAAGAACTTAGCACTGAAGTCCTATGTGTGCACCATTCCTTGCACGACTGCAAGAAAGGAATTCCAAATACTTTGTATTGCTAAGTGTTTAAAAGTACTAGCTCATTTAATCTTCCTAACTTTATCATTTAATCTCCATAACTTCTAAGGTTGATGCTGCCATTATTCTTATTTCAGAGATATGGAAATTGAGGCACAGAAAGGTTATTTAATAAACCAGAGCTTATTAAGTGATTTGCCCAAAGTTACGCAACAGAAAGTGGTAGAGTCAGGATTCAAGCCTGGATAGGCTGACCCCAAACTCAGCTCTAAACCCTGGAGCTATTTTGCCCAAGGCAGTTATCTGGTTGAGATGAGAGCAGTCCCAGCCCATGCCTGAATAGGTATCTAATGATTCTGTTCCTTAGGATAGAGGAGCTAGAGGGAGTTTTTAGGTTACCCCAAACCACCCCCACAGGACACAAAATATATACCACTGGCTTTCTCGCACATAAGTACACAAGCATCAACCCTCCATATTCTCCCAGTTCTGCTTTGGAAAAACATGAATACAGCACAAGTGAATGAGAACCAAGCTCCTATCTGCCCATCTGGGTTATCATCCCAGCTCCAAGTAGACTCAAAGTGCTATGTGTGTGTAGGCTCTGCAAGGCGAGTGTCGTTAACCTTGCTCAACCTTGTATTCCTGGAAAGTACCTTTTCTCTGTCATCTTCATGTCTTTCCAAGGCAAACCCTTCTTTTCACTTGTTATTTTCCCAATTTATTCATAAGGATTAAGAGAAGGAACCGCCAAAGCCCCAAATGCTTCCATCTTTAATCCAAGTGTGAGCTGTACAAGAGAAGTGAGGGTGTGGCAATGGGGCAGACCCACCAAGTAGGGCAACAACACCCTCCAACACCAGCAGACACGTCAGCCTGCAGTCACAGTCCCCAGGAAAGTGGGCACCAAGCCCCTTCTCTTTTCTGTTCTGCTATTCCTCAGCAATAGCAGACTTCCTGGCCCATAGTAGGCCCCTGGGAAATACTTGTTGAATGACTTATGTCTTTGGGGGTTAATAGAAGTCACATTAAAAGCACCATGATGGAATATAAGAAAACAAAACTTCAAACTCAAGCAAAATTATTTCGGATCATGTCAAGTTTAGATTTACTCTAGCATTTTCCCACCTAGACTTGTGCCTATCTTTGCCAACACCAAAATGCAGAAGATATCCTGTTTCCCTAATTCACCCCTTTTACTTCTGTTCTCAGGTCCTATATATTCTCCTGATTCTGTGAAGTTTGGGTAGAGAAACACAGTCTGACGAATCTACTGGTTGGCTCTATGCTGGGTGGCCACATCCCCTGGAGCTTCCAAAGAGAAGGGAAGCTTTTCTCATGGTGGGATCCTCAAGGTTCTGGGCAGAGGCCTCACCTAATGCCTCTTCCTCACCTTACCTGAGATGAAGAGCATCCAGAGAAGCTCCTGGAGCCTGGCCTTCCTCATCCTTTGTGTGTGCCAGCCCCAACTGCCACTGGTGTGCCTAGGACGCTCTAACCTAGAGGCTCCAGGAAGTTGCATAACAGGATATGAAGTCATTCCTGGGAGGTGCTGAGGCTGATGCTGTTTTCATCACTGGTTGTCTTGGCTCCAGACATCAGGGACAACACAGGAATCCAGAGACAGGGTTTGAGTGTCAGCCTCCTCTGAATTCCAGTTTCCTGTTCTCTGGGGATAATGACAATTACCTTTTCAGCCAAACTTGCAAAATTTTAGTGAGAATAATACTTTGGTGTGAGCAAAAGTAAGCTGTCACTATTGTCAGGGGACTAGAGGGCCACCTTGCTCTCCTGAGGCCAGCTCTCCATTCCCATCCAGTTCAGTGTAGGTAAGAATGCCAGGTACATGGAGGGACAGGTTGGGATAATAATGCCTCACTTGTAGGGTTATTGTGGGGATGAATTGGGAGTCCCTATGATAAATGCTTAGTACTGTACCCAACATACATGTTTTTTACATCCTGTTCCTACCCCCACCTCACCCTGATTCCCTTGGCTTTTTCTGACTTGAGGCCTGCCCCCTCTTCACCCGGATGGCCCACACCTTGCACTTGCCCTCAGCCTCCTGTCATAGACCTGGCTTCGGAGCTCGCAGAAGTGTAGGAAGCCCCCTAAATGATTTGAGAGGACATGGCTGCCATTAAACAAGAATAAACTTAGAAACAGGGTGATATAGGACAGGACAGTGATGAAAGAAGGAAAAATTTAGCAGTTTCCATTCCAGAAGCAATACAAGGCAGATTTGACGATGTGAAAAATCAATAACAGAAAAAATTTACTTCAGAAATACTCCCAAATGTAAAATGAATATCGACATTTTGAAGAGCTCAGAAATATATTAAAGGGAAAGTCCTAGAAATCCAATAAGTAATATACAAATAGATATTTTTGAAGTATAACATGGAACAGTGGTTCATAAATGAGGATAAAAATGTATATTTAAGAAAATACTTTCAGTACAGTATGACAACTGAAGAAAACCATGTTGCATATTTAGAAGTTGCTAAGAGATCTGAAAAGTTCTCATCACACACAAAAAAATCTGTAACTATGTAGGTGACAGATATTTTTTTAAAGATTTTATTTATTTATTTGAGAGAGAGAGAATGAGAGATAGAAAGCATGAGAGGGAAGAGGGTCAGAGGGAGAAGCAGACTCCCCGCTGAGCAGGGAGCCCAATGCGGGACTCGATCCCAGGACTCCAGGATCATGACCTGAGCTGAAGGCAGTCGCTTAACCAACTGAGCCACCCAGGCGCCCCTAGGTGACAGATGTTAACCAGATTTACTGTGGTGATAATTTTGCAAAACTACAAATACTGAATTATTATCTTGTACACCTGAAACTAATATAATGTTGTAATTCAATTATACCTCAATTTTAAAAAGAAAAACACTTTCTAGATCTGAAAAGAAATCTGTAATTGGAAGTTGAAAGCCCAACAGGGGCAAGAAAAAAAATCATGAAGTGAGACGAAGTTCCCAGGTGAAAAAAATTTTTTTATTTAAATTCAATTAGCCAATATATAGTACATCATTAGTTTCAGATGTAGTGTTCAGTAATTTATCAGCAGTTGAAAATTTTTTTTTAAAAATTTATTTATTTATTTGTCAGAGAGAGAGGGAACACAAGTAGAGGGAGTGGCAGGCAGAGGGGGAAGCAGGCTCCCTGCTGAGCAGGGAGCCGGACGCGGGACTCAATCCCAGGACCCTGGGATCATGACCTGAGCCGAAGGCAGACGCTTAACTGACTGAGCCACCCAGGCATCCCAGCAGGTGAAATTTTTTTTTAATTTAAATAAAAATATTCCTTGCAAACTGGTGCAGCCACTCTGGAAAACAGTATGGAGTTTCCTCAATAAGTTAAAAATACAACTACCCTACAATCCAGCAATTGCACTACTAGGTATTTACCCAAAGGATACAAAAATACTGATTCGAAGGGATACATGCACCCCAATGTTTATACCAGCATTATCAACAATAGCCAAATTATAGAAAGGGCCCAAATGTCCACTAACTGATCGACTGATGAATGGATAAAGAAGAGGTGATATGTATATGATGTATATAAATATATATGATGGACTATTATTCTGCCATAAAAAAAGAATGAAATCTTGCCATTTGCAGTGATGTGGATGGAACTAGAGTGTATTATGCTAAGTGAATAAGTCAGTTAGAGAAAGACAAATACCATATGATTTCACTCACATGTGAAATTTAAGAAACAAAACAGATGAACACAGAGGAAAAGAGAGAGAGAGAGGCAAACCAGAAAACAGACTCTTAACTATAGGGAACAAACTGAGGGTTGCTGGAGGGGAGGTGGTAGGGGATGGGGTAAATGGGTGATAGGTATTAAGGAGGGCACACGATGTAATGAGCACTGGGTGTTGTATGTAAGTGATGGATCACAAAATTCTACACCTGAAACTAATATTATACTGTATGTTAAGTAACTGGAATTCAAATAAAAACTTGAAAAATTAATTAATTAATTAATTTTAAAAAGATTCCTACTGCTAAACAAACAGGAAAAAAAACCCACCTTGATTCCTTCAAAAGAATTGAAATGAGCAGGACTCATAATTTTTCTCTAAGCAACAAATGCTAAGAGGCAGTGGGATGCTGTATAAAGAACATTATGACTAGAATTTTACACCCACACTGATTGCTATTCAAGTCTGAAAACAACAAAGAGGTACGATTATGTCTGCAAATTTAAAAAGAAATTCTAAAGTTAACTTTGACTTTTTAAGCTAAAACTGTGGAATGTAGCAATTTCTAAAATATACATAGTAGTAGAGACTTTGAAATCATATTATTATACCCTGCAGAGATTATTATAGTTAAGGTTTCACTAGAGTTCCTTCTATGTTCTATAAATAAGAGAATCCAGGCTTCAAACTGAGCTTGGATTGAAATCTGCCAGACCCACTATTTGTTTTACTCCTTCGGCCCACAAGGAGGAAAATTAGACAGTTTTGAAATTTTCTGACTCGGAGAGAAGCCTAAGTGATTTTTTATAGGGATGAATCAGATTAGTACAGTTCATTTAACAAATCCCTTTTCTTACAACAAATTCCACACTTAAATGAATAACACAACATTTCCTAATTTTTCATGTCTTTGCATACTTCGTTTTGAGAGTCAATTTCCTGGGAGATTAAAAGAGAACTTTTTTTAGCTGTATTAATTTTTGCTTCTTGTACTTTGAGGCTCTGTTGTTTGGCGTGTATACATTTTGGATAATTAAATCTTCTAGGTGGATTGATGTTTTTAACATTATATTGTGTCTGTAGATATTTTCTTTGCTCTTAAGTCTACCTTAATCAGATATTAATATAGCCACTCCTGCTTTTTAAAAAGTTAATGTTGGGGGCACCTGGGTGGCTCAGTCAGTTGAGCATCCTACTCTTAATTTCAGCTCAGGTCATGATCTCAGTGTCATAGGATCAAGCCCCAGGTCTGGCTCTGCACTCAGTGGGGAGTTTGCTTGAGAATTCTCTCCCTCCCTCACCCTCTGCCCCTCCCCCCCAAATGAATAAATAAATCTTAAAAAAGTAACTTATTGTTGGTATGGTATATTTTTTTCCATTCTTGTTCTTTCAACTTACCTAATCATTGACTTTGAAGGGAATTGCTTGTCAGCAGCATCTAGTCATGTGGTGCTCTTTTATCCACTCTGTCATTTTCTGTCTTTTGATAGGCATATCTCAACAATTTAAATTTAAGGTAATTATTGATATGTTAGCACTTGGTCTACTATTTTATTACTTGCTTTCTATTTCTTTCCTGTTGGTTCTCATTCTCCTGTTTTCCTTTTTGGAACTTTTAATTAACAGCCCAAGAAGGATTTCTAACTAACCCTGACTATCACCAGAAGTGGATTCCTCCTTCATACCATCTTAAACCAAAGTGGCACCTGAGTGTGTTTAAATGAGAACACTACATCAAAAATGATGCTGGCTAACTGAACATAATAAAAGTAAATAAATAAATAAATAAATAAATAAATAAAGGCAGAGAATCTCTGCAAAAAAAATATTTTAATTAAAAAAATTTTTAAAAATAAAAATAAAATGAGAATAAAGTCTTTTTCCACCTGTCCTGTCTGCTTTGTGCACTTAAGGTAAACAGAATGTAAATATCCTCTACTCCCTTATCCCTTAGTTTTCTGAGGAGTTGGATGACCTGTGCAGTATCTTAAATTCTCAAACTAGTTTTCCCATCAGGCTACTATCTCTTAAGGCTTCTCATTAAATCATTGTGGGTCTTGTGACTTAGGGTTTCTTTTCATTTCATTGAGGCTGAGTCAAAAGTTCTACTTTCACACTTAATCCTTTGGTGGCCAGAGTACCAGGAAAGTTTATTTTTAAGGTACCATGAGCCTTTTTGTATTTATTGGTCAAACATTATTTTCAGTGTGATCATGAAATCCTGTACAAATATTATTCTGTTTGGTCTTTTGTTTCCCTTCAATAAAGTCACTGGCCCAAGTCAATATGTCCCAATTGTCGTGATGGGGTAAGGTAGCAGTTTCTTTCTTAATATGGATTGGTTAAGCACATATCTGTTCTAACCTAGCTGGAATATATCTGTGACATTTTTTAACAGGGAGGTTATGCATATCTTCTTTTCTGTCTCAAAAGAGGGTCCCACAGGTCTAGGATCTGAGATCTGGTGCTCGTGTTTCTGAGAAGGCTCAATGAGGCTTTTACTGGGAGTGGGAAAAGCTTTAAACTGGCACCAACTATAGCTTCTGGAACCACTGTCCTTGCCCTGATGAAATGCATTGCTGTGCAACACTCAAAGGAACAGGATGTAACCATCCTGACCCCATCCTGCAGTCCCCCAGTCTGCCTCTAGCCCACTTATCGACAGAAGACAATAGGGAACCAGCGGGCAAAGAAGTCTGGTTTCAGAATCTCAGTTCAGACTAGGG